GTTGCATCCAACTTGTGCACTGGATGCAATACCTGCTACTTAATTTTCATACTTTCTTGTCCTGTTGTTAAATGCCAAATCTTTCTATGAATAAAATATTCTACTGCAAATAAAATTACTAACTTTGGTATAGGGTTAAAGCTAATACATTTCATAAAATCTCCAGAACTTTTTTATTTGTTACTATATGTGGATTTAAAACACTTAATATGTTAATTCATTGTCTAATATTAATTACCATCTGTTTATCTCAGGCCCTTCCTAGTGAATGAGTTGGAACCACAGTACCTTCTCCATGATAGGAGGAAGGTTTACGAGGTAAATTGATTTAGTGGAATTCACATGTTATCAGATGCCTCAACTTGTATAATGTTCTGTTTCTGTTGGTCTTGCACAACTTGTACTACATAGGTAATGCGGTAGAGTTTTTTCTTTTTGTGTGTAGATGATAGGTTGGAGCCATGTTTATTATGTGGAAACGATTCATTTACTGGACATATCCAACGATTGAAATAACATATATGGGATGTGGTACAATCTGTGAGGCAGAACCTGTCAATAGCATGTATCCAAAATAAAGGATAATAAACACTTTCTTGACCCAGCCTCACTTCATCTTCAATACACTATTGGGATGTAGGGCTAGGATGGAACATATTTCTTTTAATGTTTCTTCAACTAAAATATGCATTCATTTCAATTATGTCAGACCCAAATATGCAGGACCGACTATGAGCTCATTTGACTCCGTTGTGGAAGTATATTAAATCAAGATATGCTCAGCTTAGCTTGAACTGCACCGATGAGATCATATCCTCAAGGTGCCAATTGATTCCTACGTCGAATCAGATAGATGAACTATTGCTTCTTCATTTATGAGTTTAGTTGGCTAAGTTTGGTGTAATTCTGTTTTGGGTGTGGTTGTTTGTTGAATTCTCTGAACTAGCCTTTGTGTGTATACTGCTGGTTTACCTCTGGAGATTTTCAACAAAGTCATTAATCTTTGAAGTCCTGGGGGTATAGGCTATATCATGGTTTTTAATACAGGAGTTACATGATAGCTAATTGTTGCGTAATTTTAACACTCAATTTTCTGCTTATACTCATCCGGTGCTTATATATATTTTGTATTCTTTTTTTCCAAAATCATTCTCCGACCAATGTTCTTTTGTCTGATAAATTAGGATTGATTATATAGTCAAAATAAAAATCTAATCATGTCTTTTTGAATGATCAAGCGCCTTGAGATGTTTGGAATTCCAGTCCCAAATTATGCTCTGGTAAATAGAGAGTTCCCTTATCAAGAGTTGGACTACTTTGTTGAGCAAGAAGATTTCGTTGAAGTGCGTGGGAAGCGTTTCTGGAAGCCTTTTGTTGAGAAACCTATTGATGGTGAGGACTCGAAGTATTCAAGTTAAATAGTTCTCACTATCACTGTCAGTATATATTTTACTTAAAGTAGTTTCTTTTTAATAGCATCCAGAATCAAGCCTTTCATTTGGAATGATATGCTGATGAATGGCCTTAGGGGTGATGAGACTGGGAAAATAGAGTTACTTGTTCCCTCTGAGAAAAGAAACAGAACAAACTTCATGCTTAAACTTAGCATATTGAGTTCTGTTAACATCCCAATGTAATTTTACAAATACGTACAGCATTCTACATCTATCAACTCAAACAAAGTATCTAAGTACACTTGATCCAGTTAGTATGTTATGTTTGAACTGGGACCTTGATAATTTCTGTATAATTGTCTACCTTGTTTGACTGACGAATTTGTTTGGAAGCACATACTTTTTGCTGGTAAGTTGAAATGGTCAGGCATAATTATGATTTTACCTCCAAAAATCTTGTATCTTAAATTTTTGATCTGGTCGTGCAACTATGATGAGTTAAACATGCAATATTGTGGTCAATTATCCCTAATTAGAGACATTTTATGAGCCAAAATCTTAGAGCCGAAATCATTACTTCGGTCATAAAAAATGCTTAAATAAGTTAATTTCGTGAAAATTTTATACTAGCCTCTCATTGAAGGGGAACGAAACCTGACATTGATAATTGAAGTTTGGGAGTCCAACTACACACAGGTGAGAAATCCACAAGAGGGAGGGACCTCACAATGACAGGCTTCTAAGTGATGGTGAAGATAACTTCTAAGTGGAAGATTAACCATATTTTTCTACTGGTGGAAGTCCTGGCCTATCCTTTTGCTCTTTCTTCATTCAAATTACCTGCCAAAGGTTTCTTTTCATGTATTTGAACTTGGAGTTATGTATCTTGAAGGAAGATGTTACCTGTCTATGTTCTCAGTTGCAGAAATAAGTATATTAATGAGCCATGTAGTGTGGATTTAAAATTTTATTTTTCTGATAATCATTATTCATGAAATTATTTTCAACTATGGGTTTCTTGAGCTTTGTACAAATTTAAAGTCTCTATATTTTATCCTAACTTGCTATATTATATTCTGAAAAGGGGACAATCACAGCATCATGATATACTACCCTAGTTCTGCTGGTGGAGGGATGAAAGAATTGTTCCGTAAGGTAAAATTTGATCATCTATCTCAATTTCTATGCCATCTCTAATGTTCTAGAATGAGAAGTTTGTGGAAATTATTAACTCTTTGAACATTAATGCACCTTCCTTGACTAAGTATTGATTGTGAGTGTTATTATTAGTGCATAATAGGCTTCTTATTAAAACCTTTTGTTGTGTTCAATCTGCTTTCCAGTTGCTACTAGTTATTTACGATGGCATAAGGGAAAAATTGTAGTTCTATTATCTTTAATCTCTCCATTTATGTTATTTGATGCCTTTAAACTAAACAATATTTGTGAAAGCTAAGTATTGTTTGTAACAGGTTGGAAATCGGTCCAGTGAATTCCATCCTGATGTTAGAAGAGTGAGGCGCGAGGGGTCTTACATTTATGAAGAGTTTATGTCTACTGGTGGAACAGATGTCAAGGTTAGTGATTTTTATTGTCTCTGTATTTATCCATCTGTTTATCTATCCGTCTGTCCGTCCGTCCATCCACGGACCTCTCTATTTATTTTCGCAAAGTATTCATGTTAGTTTCTTATATAATTGCCTCTTGTTGCTATTTGAGTTGCATTCTATTTTCTATTGTGTGCATCTGATCATATCTTTTCGTTGCAATTAACTTACTTGTATCCATGCTTGGGTATATACTTTGTTCTTTTCTCGCATTCTCCAATGACCCAAGTAATTAATTTTTCTATCAAAATTTATTTTATAACTCTTTTGTTGCTGATTTTCACACAGTTTTATCTGTTTGGGGAAATTGTGCAATTGTTCAGCTTTTGGTTGCTAAATGATTTTTCTAGTCCCCTTGTTTTTAGCCCCTAATGTTCTGAAGATGAAAGAAATTTTATTGCAGGTATATACTGTTGGTCCAGAATACGCACATGCAGAAGCACGCAAATCTCCTGTTGTTGATGGTGTCGTTATGCGGAATCCTGATGGAAAAGAAGTAAATTAGTATACTTTGTTGTCAGTTGACTTGCACTAGTCTTTGACTTTTTTCTTATACATTTTTGTTTCCACATGTGAAGTAAAGTGCGTTACTGAAATTGTCTGTTGGAAGATAGAATGATGGAGTGATAATTTTAAGTTTTACACCTCAAAACATTCTCTTTATGCTAATTATTTGTACGACCTCACTTCACTTGATTATTACTTGAGAATGTACATCTGTGTTTCTGAACCAAGTAATGAACTGGTTTAATTTAAATCAAAATTTACATAAAATCATTTCTTGGACAAACTATACGTATGATAATGGTAGATATGAAAATGAAGGATCCAAAAATAAATAGTAAATGCAAATAAGTATATTTCTAATATTTATAATGTGTATTGCTTTTTCCTCGTCACCTTTTGTTATCTTTACTATTAATTAATATATTCTATGATGTTTGTGCTTAATCAATAGTTAGTAGCTTCTTTCTCCATTATATTCTGTTATATTGGTTTGAACTTTGTAAAAGAGATTCTTATTTGCAGGTTAGATATCCTGTGTTATTGACTCCTGCTGAGAAGCAAATGGCAAGGGATGTATGTCTTGCATTTAGGCAGGGGGTAAAATTTATCCAGTCTTTTATGCACTTCGTTTTTTCTTTTTCCTGTCAAATGATTCAATTTATATAAGCATATGAATCCTATAATATAGTTTTCATAGATACCATTTCCTTCCTCTGTGATATGCACATACATGTTTTAGTGGCTGCTGAAGTTGCTCAATTCTGGGTTTGTTACCTCGAACCAGGGTTACATGGACACGGGACATGAACAACAATTCTAAGCAAGAGACCATGGGGAAGCAAATATTGAGACACATATAATATTGATCGTATACAAAGGGGAGTAGCATGCTCTGTTTTATCACTACTTGTTTACCTACATAATAACATTGACATGGTTGAAAAATAATCACTACACGGGTTGGATGATGAGTAAGTAACATAGCACTTGCTAATGCTTCCCCTCTGTGTTCTTCTTTAGGTAGACACCCTGTATGTTTTCTCAGCCTCTTTGTTTTAGCATATCCTAGTTTCTTTTTGTAAGTACATGACAAGTGCCCAAGTCATAGGATACATGTATCCACTTGTCATGTTGTATCTGCGGGTCCAACGCAACAAAATTTTATAATATGGAGTGTCCTGTTAACACTGCCTGGCACTATAATCATTTAGCTTGTCTCTAATGGTGGTTCCAAGATTTAGGGATGCCGTGGAGTATTACTATTCTTTTGTTTTGTCTCCAAATATGATCTAGGAATTTCCTAGCCTTATGGATTCATCTTCAAGACATAGGCCTGGAAAATAGAAAATCCTTACGTTTATAGGCTGTTCTTTTGTTCTTTATGTTTCTAAATTGGAACATCAGTGATCATGGTAAATAACACATAGAAAACGTTTTCTTTTCTGGAATCTGCAATAGAGAGCTACAGTCATGTGGCTATGCACAATTTTTCGGTGAATGGTGTCTAGGATCATGTTAGTTCATTCACTTGGTGAAGTTCTAGTACACCATTGGAATGAAATATATTGTTATGTCACCATTACTGAATTATGTTATTTGCTACTTGGAAAAATCAATTATGTCATGATTTGTTCTGGTGATAGCAATTTGTTTGCTGAACTTAAGCTCGATTTTGTCTCTCTATGATGGATAATAAGTTATGAAAATTGGTAATGTTTCAAAGTTTATTATTGTGAATCTTCCATAATTCTGGCTTCAGGCTGCAAGAACTAAAAGTGGATAAGTTTGCATATTGCATGGTTCATCATTGAGGTGAATAACCCACAATTGAAACAATTTATATTTCTCTTACGTGGCATAATGTACTGTTTTTGTACATGCTTTTGAAGCGTTTGTTTGCGTCAAAAGTTGGTTTCATTGTGGAATTCATTATATCTTCGATCGATTACAACAAATTCAAAAGAAATAGTCTTTTTATAAGACTTCTTTTATACAACAAAAGGAAAATTACAACTTTCTAGAAACAAACGCAGAATCGTTGTTTGGATCGTTGCTTGCGTGGGATCTTTGCCTGTGCCGGGGGTGCGTTAGCCCGTGGACCACCGATTCACATATTCTGATTGAATCGTGAAGGTTTTGGGAATTCTTCCTTCGTTTATCGAAGTAAGAATTTAAAGCGAATATCTTATCGATGTAAGATATTCACTCTTCCAAAGATCAAGTCTGAGCTTAGATCTCTAGAAATCGCCAAAAGCTTCTTTAGGATGTTTGTGAAGAAGGAAGACTCTCTCTCTTGCTCTAATTCACCAAAAACTCAAGGCTCTATGCTCCAATCTACCCTCTCTCCTTTATTTCGTGCCTAGGGAGGTATTTATAGGGGTAGGAGTACATAACAGTTGAAATGGAAGCGAAATAACCGACTAGACAAACCATCTTTGGCCGTTGCAGTCGACACTGCCGCGGCTATTGGCGCGGCAGTGTGGACTGCCGCGGCCAAAGGGGCGGTTACCAGCACGTTCCATCGTGCTTGAAACCGTTCTCCCACGACCTTTAACCATCTTTTTCGTGGTTTAACTGTTTGTACACGTCAGCACACGTTCCCTTTCTGATATGCCGCCACGTGGGCTTCAAAAAATCATCGTATAACTGCTTTATAATTGCCGCAGCACTTCCTATAATAGTCGCGCCGTCATGAGCTGTTGTGCCTAAGGCGCGACACCCTTAATTGCCGCGCCTAAGGCACGACACTTTGAATTGCCGCGCCTAAGGCGCGACACTCTGAACTGTCATGCCTAAGGCATGTCACCCTGACTTGCTTGTTGGTGTATCGTTGTGTCTACACTGTTCTTTTCTCATCCTTGAGTGGTGTTTGGATATCTATGAGCATTTTTTGACGCCTACAGATACCCCCTCCAAAGTATCTCAAACTCATTATCTTAGAGAGGAGTCTGGAACACTTTGGATATGATAAGCTTTCCTTGCAATTTCATCAATGCTTTGTTGAGGAAGTTGCGTAGAATGGTCTGTACACGACATCAATTCTTGACTTCTTCATCTTTTAGTCTATTCAGTACTTTGTAGAATAGCTAAAATTCTTCCGGTACTGCGTTTATCGAGTGGCCGTCGTCGAAGTCTTGAATCATAATTGCCATTGGGAAATAGTTTAACCTCATATACCCGTTGGGAGGTTCAAGGAGATGCAGTTTTACTTGCAATCCCTTCAGTACTTAGTTGAGGAGATTGTGTAGAAGAACCTATGAACGGCTTCAACTATTGACTTCTTCATCTTTTAGTCTACTCAGTGCTTTGTAGAATAGCTAAAACTCTTCCGGTGCTGCGTTTATCGCTTGACCGTTGTCGAAATCTTGAACTAAAACTGATGTTTTGATTTGTGAATTAGCTCTTGTCGTTGAACTGATGTTGAACTGATTGTCTTCATTAGGAATTCATATCTGGATCGCAATTGAATCCCCTGAGATCATCCATTGGACTTTTTTTTAGTCTTATTTTGGCAAAAATCATTGACGCGTTGACAGGCGTTAACACAGTTTATCCTCGTGTGTTTACTGGAGTCTACACAGTTTAAGCTCTTAAGGTGTTGGAGCATAGCGGTCCTGAATATCAAAGCTGCAAGACCAATTATTCAGGTCGGTTCCTCTGCAGGTATGAACTTTATCCTGAGTTTGTCGTATACTCAAGTTACGAGATCAACTAATGAAGCTGGTGCGTCAGTGATTATCGCATTTATAGGATTTTTGGCAAACCCTCAGCCATTAACGGATTTGATATGCCTTTACCGATGACCGTTTGAATCGGGCTAGTATGTGAATTATCTAAATCTATTTCACATATAACGTTGGACTAAAAGAATTAGACTCTTTTAGATTTTGAACTATAATATTGAATATGTAGGCTACATGTGTTAGATGTAGGCTTATCTCTAATAAGGGATCGAGATAACGTCCCCCATGCTTGAACAACATGGATTTTTGCCTAATGAAAGATTTAGGTATTCTATCTTTCAATCTCTTGTTTGTTGGTAGAGATGAACCCAAAATCAGAGAGGAAGAATTTTATATTCTATCTCCTGATCTCTTGTTTGTTGGTAGAGATGAACCCAAAATCGGAGAGGAAGAATTTTATATTTTATCTCCTGATCTCTTGTTTGTTGGTAGAGATGAACCCGAAATCGGAGAGGAAGAATTTTATATTCTATCTCCTGGTGCAAAAGAAACTCAAAGTGGGATCTCCACCTAGAGAATCTGGATTGGTTTGAATAATCCTAACTGTCATAAGGTTTGACTATTCAACTCAAAAGTGAACCTTTCGTTCATTGAAGGAATCGAGAATGGATTTTGGTTTTGGTCCTAACTGTAGTAAGGTTTGACCAAGTGGGAGTTTTGAGACGATCCTAACTGTAGGAAGGTTTGACCGCTCGATTTGTGGACCTCTCGTTCATTGAAGGAATCGAGAGAGGATTTTAGTTTTGGTCCTAACTATAGTAAGGTTTGACCAAATGGGAGTTTTGAGACGATCCTAACTGTAGGAAGGTTTGACCGCTCAATTTGTAGACCTCTCGTTCATTGAAGGAATCGAGAGGAGATTTTGGCTTTGGACCTAACCGTTTAAAGGTTTGACCAAATGAGAATTTGAGACGATCCTAACTGTTTAAATGTTTGATCGTTCAATTTGTAGACCTCTCGTTCAGTGAAAGAATCGAGAGGGGATTTTGGTTTTGGTCCTAACTGTTTAAATGTTTGACCAAATGGGGACTTGAGACGATCCTAACTATTTAAAGGTTTGATCGTTCAATTTGTGGACCTCTCGTTCATGGGAGGAATCGAGAGGGGATTTTGGTTTTGGTCCTAACTGTTTAAAGGTTTGACCAGATGGAAGTTTTGAGACGACCCTAACTGTAGGAAGGTTTGATCGTTCAATTTGTGGACCTCTCGTTCAGTGAAGGAATCGAGAAGGGATTTTGGTTTTTGGTCCTAACTGTTTAAAGGTTTGACCAAATGGGGACTTGAGACGATCCTAACTGTTTAAAGGTTTGATCGTTTAATTTGTGGATCTCTCGTTCATGAAAGGAATCGAGAGGGTATTTTGGCTTTGGTCCTAACTGTTTAAATGTTTGATCAAATAGGAATTCGAGACGATCCTAACTGTAGGAAGGTTTGACCGCTCGATTTGTAGACCTCTCGTTCATTGAAGGAATCGAGAGGGGATTTTGGCTTTGGACCTAACCGTTTAAAGGTTTGACCAAATGAGAATTTGAGACGATCCTAATTGTTTAAATGTTTGATCGTTCAATTTGTAGACCTCTCGTTCAGTGAAGGAATCGAGAGGGGATTTTGGTTTTGATCCTAACTGTTTAAAGGTTTGACCAAATAGGGACTTGAGACGATCTTAACTATTTAAAGGTTTGATCGTTCAATTTGTGGACCTCTCGTTCATGGGAGGAATCGAGAGGGGATTTTGGTTTTGGTCCTAACTGTTTAAAGGTTTGACCAGATGGAAGTTTTGAGACGACCCTAACTGTAGGAAGGTTTGATCGTTCAATTTGTGGACCTCTCGTTCAGTGAAGGAATCGAGAGGGGATTTTGGTTTTTGGTCCTAACTGTTTAAAGGTTTGACCAAATAGGGACTTGAGACGATCCTAACTGTTTAAATGTTTGATCGTTCAATTTATGAACCTCTCGTTCATGAAAGGAATCGAGAGGGGATTTTGGCTTTGGTCCTAACTGTTTAAAGGTTTGACAAGGTTTGACCAAATGGGAATTTGAGACGATCCTAACTGTTTAAAGGTTTGATCGTTCAATTTGTGGACCTCTCGTTCATGGAAGGAATCGAGAAGGGATTTTGGTTTTGGTCCTAACTGTTTAAAGGTTTGACCAGATGGAAGTTTTGAGATGATTCTAACTGTAGGAAGGTTTGATCGTTCAATTTGTGGACCTCTCGTTCAGTGAAGGAATCGAGAGGGGATTTTGGTTTTTGGTCCTAACTGTTTAAATGTTTGACCAAATGGGGACTTGAGACGATCCTAACTATTTAAAGATTTGATCGTTCAATTTGTGGACCTCTCGTTCATGGAAGGAGTCGAGAGGGGATTTTGGCTTTGGTCCTAACTGTTTAAAGGTTTGACCAAATAGAGACTTGAGACGATCCTAACTGTTTAAAGGTTTGATCGTTCAATTTGTGGACCTCTCGTTCATGGAAGGAATTTGTGGACCTCTCGTTCATGGAAGGAGTCGAGAGGGGATTTTGGCTTTGGTCCTAACTGTTTAAAGATTTGATCAAATGGGAATTCGAGACGATTCTAACTGTTTAAAGGTTTGATCGTTCAATTTGTGGACCTCTCGTTCATGAAAGGAATCGAGAGGGGATTTTGACTTTGGTCCTAACTGTTTAAAGGTTTGACCAAATGGGGTTTTGTGAGGAAAGATTGATCCAACGAAGTGATCGAATCTCATCTCAGCAAAAAAATATTCGAAAATCAGCGTGGGGATGTAGTGTTTATCACTTTGTTTGTAATGATCGGGTTATCCCTAAGAAAATTACATATAGCATTCTTCCGAGAACTTCCCGTTACATGAACTATCCACCCCCAGCTTCCTTCGTGAAACTGGGTCTAACATCATACTGAGTTATATGATTGGGTTATCCTTAAGAATATTACATGTAAAAATTCTCTAGAAACTATCCGTCAAGAGTGGGAAACAGTTTAGACTCATATACCTATTGGAGTATCGAGAAGCAGTTTATACTCATATACTCTTTGGAGTGAGGGGAAACAGTTTATACTCGTGTACCCAATAGAGTTAAGGAGAACAGTTTATACTCGTGTATCCAATGGAGTTAAGGAGAACAGTTTATACTCGTGTATCCAATGGAGTTAGAGTCGTCTTTACTTGGCTTGTTTTGCCGTTATGACGCCGGAGTCAATTAAGGCTTGGATTTTGTTTTTTAGTCCAAAGTAAATCTCGGTGGGATGAAGAACCCTTCTGTGGTACGCACAGTAGTTTGGATCCGTAATCTTTTTAGCTTCCTCCTGATCTTTAATAGGTGATAGCTCGATTTTGTCATTAGCGAGGAGGTATTTCAATATGACTGGAGCTTCATCATTTTCGAAAGAATACTCCTTTTGAAACTTCGGATCGAGAGTCGCGTTCCCAGTGATTGTAGATGTCGTCGGTCGGCTTCTCTCAGCTTTCTTTCTTTTAAGAAAGTGTTCAGCTTGTTCGTAACGTAGTTTTAACTCTTTCCAAGTTTTGGATGGTACGACCCCCAGAGCTTCCAAGACATCGATGGAGAGATTATTATGGTATGTTTGCAGGATGAACTCCTCTGTAACAGGATCTCTGCAATTCATTGCTTTGTTACGGAAGCGCTTGACAAAATTGTCGACTGACTCTCCGTCTTTTTGTTTCTCATCTAAAAGGGTTCCAATTGACACTTCGGTGTCATCATCGAAAAAATTACTGAGGAACAAACTTTTCATGTCATCCCAGCAATTGATGCTCCCTGACTTGAGACGTCGGTACCAATCGAAGGCGGGCCCACGAAGAGTGCCAACGAATGACCGGACAATTAAAGCCTCATTTTCAGAGATCATGCCCAAATGGGACTTGAAATAAATCAAGTACTGAGTAGTCGAGCTTTTCCCGTCAAACGGTGTGAAGTTAATCAGATTGAATTTTACCGGGTACGGTATTGAATCCTATTCTCTTGGATAAGGACATGGAATACCAATCTTTTTCACTTCTTGAGCCGTCATCAAAGCATTGACTTTGTTTTCAAGCTCTTTTATTTTCTCGTCATCGTCCATGTCTTCATTCGAAGGACGTTGAGGAGAATGAGTTAGGCCACCCCCTATAAGAGGTGCCATTGAACCACCCCCAATATCGTTATTGGGAGGATGCATTAAACCACCCCCAGCGTTATTATTATTGGGAGGTGTTGTTTGGTTCAAAAGTCGCTGGCGGCTGGATTCAGCTCGCTAACTGGACTCTGGAGGTTGAGGCCGTTGATCTAGTAATTCCTTCATTTGTTGGATAGCCAACTCCATCTCTGTCTTCATCTCAGCTCTAATTTCTTCACGTTGTTTGGCTAGAGCTTCTTTAAGTATTTGAACAAACTGATCAGAGGTTATTGTAAGTACTTCTCTGGTTTGTCCTGTGCTAGATACCGTATCATCCAGAGCGATCGCAGAACAAGTGTCTGAGAGCTCATCCTCTGATGACATTCCTTCATGCATTCTCTTGTAGTCCCTATGTCTGATGGCTCTTAACTGGAGTCGGGATATCCGTTTGGTAATTCTTGAATTGACTTTTCCTCTCGGGAAAAAGTCGGGATTTGATTCACTTGAATGCTATTTAGATTTTTCTTTATCAGTCACGTTGATGGTGACTTCTGGGAATTCATCATCTTGGACAGCCGATCTTCTCTTGCGGAAATGTCTCGGCTTAGGCTTCGACATTTCGGTGAAAAGACTGTGGAATACCGAGACTCTTCGTGGGATGGCTTCTCGTTTTGTGTAGTTATATTCCAACAATGCTGCTTTTATAAGTCGCGCACAGGAACAATGAGAGCTTATTTCTCGAATAATTCTCTTTCGAAATCTATTCAAACCCACAGCTTGATAGTACGATTCATCGGTACGATTGCCGAAAAATCCTATCGTCAGTTGGTATGACCTCCCAGGTATAACAATGTCTTTTGGCGAACACGTCTTCTTCTGGGGGTGTAAAACATTGTTGGCATTCTCAGGACAATTTATTACTGTCTTTGAGCGATCCAAGGTTATGTCGGGAGTCACACGTTTAGAACCACTCCCTTGCGGGTATGGAGTCTTAACGGGCTCCGAATGTTGATTTTGCTTAAGTCCAGACTTTGGGATCCAAACTTTGTAGAATTTTGGTGGTTCTTTGGCCACCTTTTTTTTGTTTCTTTCTCGTCTTTGTTGTAAGAGAACACGGGCATGAGCAGCGTTTGCATGACGCTTTTGTATACGTTCTTTGAGGGTTGAGCGAGCCCTCTTGACTAAAGTCTATTCATCCGTCGTTAATTTAGCAGAGATATGAGTAATTAGTTGTTGAGATAACTGAACCACTCGATGCCTCCTCGATTCTAGGTCCGCGTGATAACGAACCCCGTCGCTTTGTTCCAAGGCCTTAGCTATTTGACGAGCGCGACTCTGACGTTATCTCTGACGAGCCCTCTTCGTCAGTGCTAGTGGGCTTTGATTCGATGACTCTTTAACTAGATAAGAGTCATTATGAGCAGAGGTGTTGCGAGTAAAATCCTTAGCAACAATCAGGCGAGAGTCTTCATTTTGTGCCTTCTTTGGCATGTAGGTCTTCTTCAATTGTGCGATACTCTGAACTGTCACGCCTAAGGCATGTCACCCTAGCTTGCTTGTTGGTGTATCGTTGTGTCCACTGTTCTTTTCTCATCCTTGAGTGGTGTTTGGATATCTATGAGCATTTTTTGACGCCTACAGCGTTATTATTATTATTATTAATGGTTCATTGTTGCGAGCTTATTTATCCGAGTAATCCTTGGTAACTGTGGAAGAGTTCATATCTCATATCATTTTTCTTGAACTGTCTACAAAGTAAAATAGGTTGAAAATTTTCATTTGCCCACAGAGTGCAAGTGAATTTTAAGAAAAGGGGATTCTAGAGAAAATTAATCTGTATACCTTGCCGTGTTTTCTTTTTCTTTTATTTAGAATTTCTTTCAGGTTTCTAAGTTGCTTTTTTTTCTTTTTATTTAAATTTTCCTTTCAGGTTTGCGGCTTTGATCTCCTAAGATGTGAAAGAAGATCATATGTTTGTGATGTCAATGGTTGGAGTTTTGTAAAGAATTCTTACAAGTAATTATGGGTTCAAAGCCTTAAATCCAATGTTTTCATGCAAAATGACTTGGAAGTTCAACTATTGATGTGGTTAAGATGTCTTTATGGGATATGTTTTATATAATACTAAATTGCTCTGTCAAAAAATAGGTACTATGATGATGCAGCATGTGTGTTGAGAAAAATGTTTCTTGATGCTAAAGCTCCTCACCTGTCATCTACTATTCCCCCGAATCTCCCTTGGAAAGTGAATGAACCAGCCCAACCTTGTGAGAACCTAACACGCCAGGGAAGTGGACTCATTGGCACATTTGGGCAATCAGAGGAGTTACGATGTGTTATCGCTGTTATTCGCCAGTAAGGATCATTTTCCTTCCTTCTTATGACTTATTTGTGTGCATTACTATATCTGTCTCTCTTCCCCCTTATGTGGATGCAAGCATGTATAGATTGGAGCAGAAGGGGTTTGACATTTTAATTTTGAGAGTTGGATTTAACCTCATCTTACTTGTAGATGCCTATTTAGATTCATGAAAATACCCTTCAGTATGTCCTTCAAAGTGCATGAGTTTGAAGGAAACCAAGGGACAAATGTGTTAAATATTTGTTCCAATTACTAAAATATTTGATGTATAAATCTATCATTCCAGAGAAAGCTAGATGCTCCCTTCATTCCGTTAACTTGTTTCTGGTTACTCTATAGTGGTGATCGTACTCCTAAGCAAAAGGTGAAGTTGAAAGTCACCGAAGAGAAGCTACTGAATTTGATGTTAAAGTACAATGATAACCGGCCTAGAGCTGAGGTGATTTTTTCCTTGTATGATTAAGATGGATCTTTATTTGAGCTTCATAACATTGCAAATTATCTTATGTTAATACCTGTATTATATCTCTTTTACAGACAAAGCTCAAAAGTGCTGTTCAGTTACAAGACCTGTTAGATGCTACTCGGATGCTGGTGCCTCGGGCTAGGTAACCAATATTCAAATATTCTGCTTATCCATGAGTTAATAATTTATGTACCTACTATATTTTAAAGAGCCGTGGCCCGTGATCAAGTCAATATTGAGCATGGTTAAAGAGACATGATCATAAGCTTTAATAGCTGTGTACCTTACATGATTCTCCCAAAATTAGAAGCATACATATTAGATTTTATCTTTAATAAAATTTATATTTCATCTATATATTAAACCTTGCGAGTACCTTGATTTATACAGGTAAGAAGACATGTTCATTTGTCATCAATGGAAAATCTATCATCTACCAAGTCTGCCAATATCGAGTTAGAAAGTGAAGAATGGATGTAAAGTTCATGTGGCGTGGAATATCTAATCCACTACTGAGATATTAAACTTAATCTTTTGATGCACTAGTGCAGCATTGCTTATCTAGCCTATTTGTTTGAATTGTTAATGATTACCATGTCGCATCCCGTTTTCTATAACTTTATGTTTTAATACAGCTTTCTAACTCATAATAATAGAAAGTGTTATCACGTGCATTAGATCTGGTCGGGAAAGTGATAGCGATGCTGAAGACCTTGTACATGCTGAGAAACTTCTCCAAGTTAAAGCAGTGCTTGAGGAGGTATATTTATTAGTTTCAAAGCATATTCTCATCTAATATTATTGCTATGTTTTGCAACAGCCAATTTTAGATGCATGCATATTTTATTAAATCCCAGTAACAGTTGTATACTTCCCACCTATTACATTTTCACTTCACTCTTGTTAATCTGTAATACCTGTTATTAGGAACTAGTTTCGATATGGATATGTAAGACCATCTATAAATAATTCGATATGGATATGTAAGACCATCTATAAATACATCACATTAGATATTTATTGTTCAACAGCTACTTTAATGAAGAATATATCAGTATGAATAACAGTGGAAAACAAGAACTAGAGATAGTATGCATAGGAACTAGATTTTTATGTCCCAGTCAGAAGTTCTAGGCTTTTTTCGGGAATTAATGCGGCGAACTTTCTTTTGTTAATAAATGTTTCAAATTCTCAATATAGTTAAAATAGGATTCTAAGACAAGCTTAATTTTTCAAAATCGGTACTCTTTTTTAAACTTATTTAGTTAATATTATTAAATAATTATTTATTGGTAAACCAAAAGCATCTAAATCTGAAAAATATTACCTTGGTCGTTACTTGTTTCGGTTCTGTTGCCTCAAATTATGTCTATTCTTATTGTAAACTAGTACATGGACATTGATGTACATTGCACAGAATGCGCGTTTCTATACTTATCTTTATTTCCTTGCAACTTTTCGAACTGCAAATCTAACATAGCCAAAACCACACATTTATTTGCAACTCATGTGAGACTAAATTTTTATGTTATCCAGGGTGGGCATTTTTCGGGTATTTATAGGAAGGTCCAATTGAAGCCACTAAAATGGGTTAAAGTTCCAAAAAGCAATGGTGATGGTGAGGAAGAGCGCCCTATTGAAGCTTTGATGGTTCTTAAATACGGAGGTGTTCTTACACATGCTGGAAGAAAACAGGTGGTTGTCTTATATTTGTCCTTTATTCTGTTGGTCCTGGACGACCTAGAAACGATCCATAAACACAACAAAATACCTAGACAAGAGGTGTTAATAGTTCACTATTATTTTTTTTATCTGCACCTCGTACACTCATTGGATTTGTGAAGATAATGCATATAATTTTAGTTTTTCTATTATCTCACAATGATTTCACTATTTGGAACAAATTTTGATGGCTAAATCCAGTCTTTAAATCTTTTGTTAGGCTGAAGAGTTGGGAAGGTATTTTCGGAACAATATGTATCCAGGTTGTATTCCTCATTGTACGCTATTTCCATTGGTTCAACAAACTATATTTCTGTTCCTTTCATGGTTCAATAAATGATTATGTTTTATATTACATTAAATGTTCTTTAGCTATTTGCTTTGCTTATTATGAGCATTAGTTGATTCATCTCAGACCAGCAGTAGACTCTCTAGCAGTGGACTAGAAGTCTTATTTTGGTGCAGTGATAATAAATTTCTAAAATTAATGGGTAGAGGACCTTGTATTTCTCGTTGTGCTGGTTTGGTGGAAGCTGATACGATGGCCTTCTTACTTAGAATCTTATTAACTTAATACCTATGGTGCATCTTCTTGGTTGTAAAAAACAGAGGTCATATTTTACAACAAAGTGCAGCCAATGATGAACTTGTAAGGTCTTATATTTTTAAAGTAGACAAGTTAACCGTTTTGAGGCATCTTCTTATTTTAAAATGTAACAGACCACATTTTATGTAATGGCGCACCCAATGACCTTATATGACCTAATATTTCTACAGTAGGCAGTCACGGGAAAAGCCTTCTGGTCACTACACTTTCTCTAAAGCATGTGGTTCAAACTATATGCATTATTATATAAAATAATAATGATCTCTCATCTTGATGCTAAAAGCCCCTCCTTGAAAGAAAGGAAAGCTGGGAATGACATCTCAACCACATGATGCTAAAAGAACCCATGTGTACCAGAAAGCAAAGCCTTAGGAAGACTTGTTCACAACCTGATTAAAAAAAGATAGAAATACTCAGTTAAAATTGGTTACTGTATAGAGTTCTTGGAACCGTTCGGAGGCAGTATGATTAGATACAAAATCATTATTAATTATAATTTTAGGAAGCATGTATTGTGGTACCTTGCAAGGGTTAAGATACACTTGCAACATGACCGAAGTTCAATTATGTTTAGAAACCTAAATTGCTATGCTATATATCTGTTTACAAAATTCTATATGATACTTGACAAGTAGGCATGTCATGAAGATTGAGGAAGAAGGCTTATTTGCTCTCACAAATGTAATCCTTCAGTGCATACATATCTTTTCCAGTGACCATAGTCAGTCGTATATTGCTTATAAGAGCACCAAAGAATATCAAAGTGAACATGCACATTTATCAATAAGCGGTTATTTTATGATTTTAGCAATAATATGTTTGCAGTCATTTAGAATTAATCTGCAGAATTTCTTCTAATCTAAGTCCATTGAGTTGGTACACAAGATGAGAGTCACTTGAGACCATCCCCACGCGTCTGCCCTTGTTCAGATCCTATTGAACTATGTTTGCTGAAGAAACTACATCCACATATTGAACCTATGATATCTCGTCTCAGATATTAACATGATGTCTAGTTACCTCTATAGGCTCTTATCATCAATAATTCTCATCTTCTGATCTGGCTTTCATCTTCCAATGCATCAACTGGTAATTCTGATATCTCCTTTTGCCTTTTGTGTCATGGCTATATATTTGGATTGTATTATCTGCTTTTTCAGTCCTGCCTCTCTATGCTTACACACTTGCATGCAATAACTTCAAAGAAATTTTCATAGTCGATCCAGGAGAATTTCGATCCTTGAATGTGTTTGTGTTGATTGCATGTTTTTTTACAAGGTTCATATTCACCGTATTACATCCATATGATTACAGAAAAATATTCAATTTGTCCACTCATAAGCTTTTCTGAATTGAGTCCTATTGGATAGAGCAGATTTGCGAAGGATAGACATGATCAAGTTAGTATAAGAGTATACAATAAGCACCAGTCTGTGTTTGTCATTACTTATTGTTATAAGACACTTTGCTCAGAGTTAAACTGTAAAGAATACTTGTTGTGATAGTATTTTATTTTGTGAATGATATGTTCATTTATTATAGTTTATTGCTAATGTCTTCTTTATTTTATCCTGAAACCATTAGGAGAAGGAACAGGATTGCTTCGTCTTCACAGTACTTACAGACATGACTTGAAGATATATAGTTCAGATGAGGGTCGTGTCCAGGTAGGATAGTGCATGATATTGACCTTTAACATTTATTAAACTTGTCCAACTCTTGCTTTTTATTGCACTTTTTTGTTGTTTAGGATGTTTTGCAAACTTAAAGTTTAGGTTGAAGTTTATTTTTTATGCATTGCACCTTCAGAAAAGCATAGCAGTTATATAGACCATGTTGTTTACAGATGTCTGCAGCTGCTTTTGCCAAAGGCCTTCTTGATTTGGAGGGGCAACTAACTCCCATTCTGGTTTAATGCGTACCACCTTAATATATTCATTTTCCTTTTGCGAGTTCTGATGTGTAACTTACACCCATCCCACTTTTCCAGGTTTCTCTTGTTAGTAAAGATTCTTCCATGTTAGATGGCCTTGCAAATGCAAGAACTGAGATGGAAGAAGCAAAGGTTTGTGTTCCAGTAAAGTATATTATCTCGTAACTTATTAATATCTTTTTCAGTTGTTCTACTTTTTGATATTGAGATGCTTTGCCATATTGGTCACTACTTGGTGGTTAATGCTTAAATCAATTGAAGGACAGGACAGACAACTCATAGGGGAAAGTAGAAAGAAAAATGATAAAGTAGACATGGGACATTGTATCTATAAGATCATATTCGCTCAGTGGTGTTGCGAGGTCCTGTGGTCACTTCTTGGGGCTGGAGAGGAGTGAGGGTTTGTGATCAAGGGAGCTGATGAATAGTTTGGTAGAAGGATAGTGGGAATTATATTCAAAGGAACTAAAGACCTACATTTCTCACTTAAGAGATTTTTTAGTCCAGATAAATAGATTTAACTTATTGTAATCTGACTCTTCTTCAAGTTAGTTTTCTCATTACATTATTTATAATTTGCTCCAAAACTACGTTTGCATTCTATAAATGCCTTTGATAGCTATAGATTTATACTATGCAGGCTAAGCTTCATGAGATGATAACCTCAGAATCTAAATTGGTTCAAAGCAATGGAAATTTAGAATATCCCTGGATGGTTGATGGCGCTGGGCTGCCTCCTAATGCTTCTGAACTTCTTCCTAGAATGGTATTCTTCTTCATATACATGTTTCTTTTCGATTTTGTGTTTGTTGCAAAGAATTTTTTTTCTACAACATGTGGTCTCTTTCTTGTTCTATCATGTATACATTGTAGTTAATATAGTTGTGAGTTTCACGATGTCCCTCCAGTGTGAAGTTGATTTGAATATTTTCATATTAGATTCTAACCATTTTATTGTGTGGAAACATTTGGAACCAAATGTTTCCTATTCAGAAACGAAGTGCACATCGCCCTTCAAGTTGACATAAACCATTTGCAGTGCTCAAAAACCAAAAATAATTTTTTTAATAAAAGTAGTACATAGTGGACTGTCAGAAGTGGAAAGCTCCTTAGGAAACTATTAATATCTCAGCCAATGTAATCCAAAGTGATAAATCGAAAATCAATTTAATTAAGGATTGTCTGAAATTTGCTGTTATTACTTTCATAATCTTGGAAACCAGATTATACTTCCCTGATCATGTCTTTTGGTTGTTGGTTACATTGAGAAAAGTGACCCAACCAAGAGACAGATGATCAAATATTTATTTATAAGAAAGCAATAAAATGCAATCACACAAACTTATAGTATGAGATCAAACTATTGAACTAAGTACACCAGTGCTGCCACACAAGCAGGATCATATATATATCAGTTACGCCTAGCCAGTTACATAGAAACTGAAAAAATAATAATAAAATAAATAAATAAAAATCCTAGGCAACACTTTTGTGAAAATATCACCAATTTGACCACGCAAAAACATATGACATGACAATCTCCTTGGCATACAACATATCATGTGACAATCAACCTCAATCTGCTTGGCGCATTCTTGAATCAACCGTTTGTTATCAATATGGATTATTATTTGATTATCAGAATTTATCACCATATGGTTGGGTGGAAGCACACCCCTCATACAAAGAAGAGATTGAATCCAGATCATTCTCAAGCAGTACCGGAACTAGTTGGAAAATGCTCAAGATTTGTATTTGTTTTTTATTATCAGGGATAATGTATATTTAGATTTTTTTACTTCAATCTCTGTCTCTGTTGTAGTGACTGTATCTGACGTTCTCAATTTCAATAGAGTAGTGAATATGTTCTTCCTTTTCAGAGCTTCAAATTATTTGTTCGGCTTTTCTGCGTATAGTCTTTTAATTTAGGATAAATCAAATTTTCTTTTGTTCCCTATGTTATACTTGCATAATAGCGAAGATCATGTTTTCCTTGAACAGTTCAAATTAACAAAGAAAGTAGCTTCACAAGTGAAAATACTCGCTAAAGATGAAGATGAAAAGCTTACGATGACAAGTTCATATGAGGTGCTACCTCCTTATGACCAAGCAAAGGCTCTGGGAAAAATAAACATTGATGTAGCACGTATTGCTGCTGGACTGCCTTGTGGGAGTGAAGGATTTCTTTTAATGTTTGCTCGCTGGAAGAAACTGGAGAGAGAGTTATACAATGAACGAAAGGAGTATGCACTAATCAATATGATAGATGTTATGATTCCACAATTTTGGCATATAAACTTATGATTTGATTTCTGATGCAGCCGATTTGATATTACACAAATTCCAGATGTATATGATTCATGCAAGTAAGATTCCAACTTTACTGCATGTCAATTTCCTTCGTACAAATGTTCCTGCTGCAACTTAGCACACTTTTCGAATGGATCATTACCAAAGAATCAAATTTTATATGAATTTTATGGTTTTAGATGTGCCAACATTGTAAACGTGAATACATCAACAATAGGTTATTAACAACTTGCTCTACTTAGTTTTAAGGACCACTTTACGATGACATGGTTATTGCTTCTGGGTATGGTTTAATCAATCATTAAGTTGGTTAACCTGTTAAGATTTATTTTACTTCAAAAAGTTGATTACTTGAAATCTTCATTAGACAAGACATAGAAGCTATAAGGATATTGAAGATGTAAAAATGCTGCATATTTTAGGGTAAATTACAGCTCTCTCTCAGAAAATCAACCTCATTAACACATATTCCGCTTGTAGTTTACTTTTCACACTTTTCTCTCCCAATGTTTGCACATTTGCACTTTTCCTATCATGTAAAAACATCATGCACTGGTCAAATGATTATTTTTATGACAACTGTAACAACTATTTACCAACCATATTAACAAGTATTAAAGGGTCCATGTCATAAACCCTGAAGGCCAGTTGGTAGGCAGCACTTTAAGTATCAAGCATGAAACTTGTTGTCAGGTCTCCTACAATCGATCCTCTAGAATTTGAAGCAAAAGCTCTAATTGTCATGAGAATCTCTTCTATAAATTCATTTATTATCTATCCAAAATTTACCTACTAGGAACAGTGTATTTTAGATGATTAAGATGTGATAAACTCTTAAGTTGCTGAAATGATTTTGTTCAGATATTCTTTTCCAGATTAATGAAAATTAGTTTCATATGAATTCACTGTAACACCTATGTCATACTTAAATAGAATACATTTTAATATGTAGTAATGTGGAATGACAAAGGTGTCCTCTTTGTCTTTGTATTCATTTCTCCTTGCACCATTCTCTTCTAATGCACTTCATGTTTATATTATGATATATCACCTTCTTACATCATAAACCTTAATAGGTATGACCTTCTGCATAATGCACATCTCAATCTTGATGGTTTGCCTGAGCTCTTCAGAGTCGCTAAGGTAAAGCTAGGAACTGCTGGTGATCAATTGTTTTGAGTAGTGTATCATGCATTCTAGATGCAACTTCTTCAATTGTTTTAATTAAAGTTTTCTGTCATTGTAGTTGCTGGCAGATGGTGTTATCCCAAATGAGTATGGCATTAATCCAAAGCATAAGCTCAAAATTGGTTCAAAGGTAATGTTGATTTCCTGTCCGCTTATGTGGTTGATTCCTAATAGAGTTTTAACTTTTAACTGATAATAACATTAAGCATAACTGATAATAACATTAAGCATTTTCAGAGAAATAGAATCATCGACTTTCTAGTAAACCAATTTTAGGACATCTTGTAGACGGTCTTTCAGAAAAAGTTGTCTTATGAATGTTTCTGCAAAAGTTCTCTAAACAACTGGAATAGTTTGCTGGGAGTTTCTGTCTGCAGTCCAATGATAAAGGCTTTGGTGAACCTGTATAATTTTTCTGTAACCAATTTTGATATACTAGATTTTGCCTGTCTTTCACCTGTTATCCCTTGGATATATGCTATTGTGCCAGACCATGTTACCTTTCTTGTGCTTTTCTCATTTCTAGTCCCATACATCAAGGATTTTCTCATTAATACTTAGATACATTCAATGGATTATTTGACACAATATTAAATTCTTGATCCTATTATAAGAGTATTGTTGATATATTAGTATTAGTTAGGGACTTATTTGTAAGTTGTGTAGGGGCCTATATAAAGCCCAAGAGATCTCATAATGAATTAGGGTTTTCATATTCTATATGGTATCCAGAGCGCCTCCGCCAAAAACCCACGTCGCACCCCCCTACCCTCTCTCAACCCCGGCCGTCCCCCACCCACTGGAACAGCACCCCCCTCTCAGCCATGGAATTCATCGCGAATCCCTGGTATCATCCCCATCCGGCACCCCCCCATCGCGCCCCTGAATCATTGAAGCCCCTCACGTACAAAACCCCCACGATCATCCCCCCACCTCGCTGACCCGCCTTCTTGTTTTTCCCCTGAAGCGGAACCCCTCCCTGGCGCCTTCAAAAACCCTCCCCCCTCTGTTTTCGAGCCGAAACCCTTCCTCCCCAAAGACCCAACCGAACCCTTCTGTTACGCGGGTAAACCCCTCCCCCCAAACCCTCAGACCGAATCCCCCCACCAAAACCCTCAGACCGAAATGCCCCCCCACCTTTGACCGCCCCTTGCTGCGCTATGCTGGACCTCGAGTTTGGCATGGGTTCCCTTGACTCAGTCCTCGAACTGATGATAGGAAGAGTATATATCTCACATCGATGAGATATATAACTAGTTTTGGTTCTTGTTTCCTCTGAAAAACGAGAATTTGTTTGAGATCCTGCTCTTGTTGTGCAGCAGAGGTGTTGCCGAAATTTTTACTGCACACAACAAGGGTCGGAAGAGAAGGTGAACAGGTGGTGGGTCTGAAGCCTATTCGATGGAGGAGATCATCAAGAAGTTGAACCCCGCGGAGGTGTCAACTTTGATGAAGCTAATGAAGTTGTCGGCTGGTGAGAGTGCGACAAAACCATCGAAGAAGTTGGAGCTTCCGACCATTGATCTGAAACTTGATGGACCGAGTACTTACCTGAGCTGGTCGCGACGGGTGAGATACACCCTTGCAGGCAGGAACCTGGAGGGTTACTTGACAGGAGAGGCGACAGAACCAGAGGAGGACTCAGAGGGAAGAGATGAGTGGAAGTCCACTCATATGTTGGTGTACATCTGGCTTCTCAACTCGTTGGTCCTGACGATCGCCGCCACGGTGGATGGCATTGAGAAGGTGAAGGACGTCTGGGAGAAGTTGAGGAGGACATATGATGGAGTGGGGAATAACCTGCGGGTATTCCAGATCAAAGGAGAGATTGACGCCACAGTCTAGGGAGAGAGGACTGTACAGGAATATGCTACAGAGCTGGAGCGCCTGTGGCTGGACTATGATCGTTTTTCTCCCCGGGCTAGCTGCAAGGACCCGGGATGTAAAAAGCGGGAGGCCTTTCTACAAGAGAGAACTATGGTGTTTCTTAAAGGATTGACATCAGAATTCGCTCAGCGAATCGCACTGCTGTTAGCTCAGCCGAAGATTCCCACGCTTGAGGAGGCTGTCTCTGCTATGATTCAGGAGGAGACTCGCATTCGGCTGTAGGCGGGGATAGGTGCACTTCTTGTGGTGAAGTCAATAAGGGAGAGACTCGACAGTGCTACAACTGTGGTGCGGTGGGTCATCTAAGGCATGCTTGCACCAAACCACCCAAGGAAGGAGATTCGGGTGGACGTGGACAGTTCGGATGCCGTGGTCGTGGTCGTGGAGGTCGACGAGGTGGAAGAGGAGCAGGGAATCGGGCGAATCTGACGGTAGCAGAAGAAGAAGAAGCTGAGGTGATCTTTACTGAGGAAGACCGTGCTCTCCTGGCGATACTAAGGAAGAAACAACAAGTAGCAAAGGATGGAGACTTGAGGAGTGGGAGTGAGGAGGCATCCACTTCGTTCTTCGCCAGAGGCAATACTGCTACCTATGCTCATCCGACCAAAGGTACTGATGATATTCATGTTCTTGCTTCTATGTCTCCCAACAGATCATCAGAATGGATAGTCGACTCCGGCGCGTCTCGACATGTGACAGGTAATGCTAGTGAGTTCTCATCATATACTCACTTAGCATCACCTGATAGTATTCAAACAGCCGATGGTACATTTTAGCCGGTGGTTGGTAAGGGTACAGTCGATTGTACTGGTTCTGTAATTTTGTCCAATGTTTTGCATGCTCCTTCATTTCCAGTCAATCTTTTGTCCATTAGTTCTATCATCCTCCAACTAAAATGCATTGTTTCTTTTGATATTCCCAAGGTGATTTTTCAGGAGAAGGGGACAGGACGGAGACTTGGGACTAGCACATGGCGTAGTGGACTGTGGTATCTGGATCGTGAAGGGCTGGACTCAGCATTGGTGTCAGTCGTAGAGGAAGCAGGAGTAGGATCTGATATGAGTACTGAGAATGAGTTAATGCTTCATCACCAGCGTTTGAGACACTCATCATTTAGCGTTTTAAGTAGATTGTATCCTTCTTTATTTGAGAAAGCAAATAAACAGAAACTTGTGTGTGATGCATGTGAGTTTGGAAAGCTTACTAGAAGCTCTTATGTTAGTTCAGGTCAAAGAAGTTCTCGTGTATTTGACTTGGTACATTCAGATGTTTGGGGGCCTTGTTCCACAAGTTCTATGAATGGATACAAGTATTTTGTTACATTTATTGATTGTTTCTCTCGTGTGACTTGGTTATACTTGATGAAGAATAAGAGTGAAGTGTTTGGGTGCTTCCAAAACTTTCATAGGAATGTTCAGACTCAATACGGAGCAGTGGTGAAGATATTGAGGTCGGATAATGGGACAGAGTATACCAACAGAGCGTTTGAAGAATATTTGTCAGCTCAGGGAATACATCACCAGACGACCTGTCCATATACACCAGCTCAGAATAGAGTAGCGGAAAGGAAGAACAGACATCTTTTAGAGGTTGTTAGAAGCATGATGATCTCTATGAATGTCCCAGAAATATTATGGGGACAAGCAGTGTTGACCGCAGCAGCGCTGATCAACAGAATGCCCTCGAGAGTGCTGGATTGGAAGTCTCTGTGTGAGACATTAAAGGGAGATAATGGTGGGATTCTTTCACTTAAAGTGTTTGGCTGTATGTGCTTTGTGAAGGACAACAGGCCATCTGTCGGGAAACTTGCCCCTAGAGCTGTGAAGTGCATCTTTGTAGGATATTCTGCTACTCAGAAGGGATATGTTTGCTGGAGCCCGGTGGAAAAAAGGTTGTTTGTGAGCATGGATGTGCACTTTCGAGAACTCGAGTCATATTACACCCAGAAGGTAACTTCATCCGCTGGTAACTCGCCGGAGGAGAATGGTGAGAGAATGGAAAAATCAATATCTGTAACGATTCCTTGGGAAGGAGACTTGGTTGAGGAGGAGCAAGAGAATGAAGAAGAAGAGGAGAATGAGACAAGAGGTGTTAGACCTACGGCTCAGGGGGAACTACTTACCTATAGTAGGAAGGAGAAACAAATTACGGGAACAGTACCTACAGTGCCACTGGTGCCAAGTCCCTTGCCAACGCCTACCCCGACTCCTGAGACACCTACACCACCACCAGATTCCTCTCAAGGTGATTCCATTCCTCTTCCTACTCATCCCACACCAATAACCGTACGGAGGACTACTCGCAGTAATGCGGGAAATCCTCCCGATAGATATGGTTGGGATCTTGCTCAGTTTGTATCATATTCTAACATCCACCCTGCACATGGAGCATTCATTGCATCTCTGGATTCTGTTACTATACCTAACAATTGGCAGGTTGCAAAGAAGGACCAGAAATAGAAAGCTGCTATGCACGAAGAGCTAAGGGCCCTTGAGAAGAACCACACTTGGGAGTTAGTAAAACTACCAAAAGGGAAGAGAACAGTTGGATGCAAGTGGGTCTTCACTGTGAAGCAGAATCCAGATGGACAGGTTGAACGCTACAAAGCACGTTTGGTGGCAAAAGGATATAGTCAGACATATGACATCGACTACGATGAGACTTTTGCACCGGTGGCAAAGATGAGCACTGTTCGGACCTTAATCTCTCTGGCAGTAAATGGTGGATGGAAGCTACACCAACTAGATGTGAAGAACGCATTCCTTCATGGAGATCTAGTGGAGGAAGTATACATGGAGATACCACCAGGATTCGGTACAGATCAGACAGTGGGAAAGGTCTGCAGATTGAAGAAGTCTCTTTATGGGCTAAAGCAGTCTCCTCGTGCTTGGTTTGACAGATTCAGGAAGGCTATGATTGGTATGGGGTACCAACAGATTAGCACCGACCATACCGTGTTCTCTCGAAGAAGTGGAGGTCACATCACCTTGCTTGCAGTATATGTGGATGATATGATTATTACAGGGGATGATGAGAAGGAGATTGCCCAACTCAAAGTGAGACTAGGTAAGGAGTTCGAGGTGAAAGATCTTGGCTTGCTTAGATACTTTCTTGGAATAGAGATAGCTCGAGGAGCGGAGGGGATCGTCCTATCCCAGAGAAAGTATGCACTGGATCTTCTCAAAGAGACAGGAATGTTAGGATGCAAACCTGCAACTATACCGATCGACCAGAAGTTTAAGCTGGGTGCTGAAGCTGGAGAACCAGTTGATCGTGACAGATACCAAAGGCTGGTGGGCAGGTTGATCTATCTGTGTCACACACGTCCCGATATCTCTTTTGCAGTAAGCGTGGTGAGTCGCTACATGCATGATCCAATGAAGGGTCATATGGACGCAGTGTACCAGATTCTAAGGTATTTGAAGAATGCCCCCGGAAAATGGCTAATATTCAGGAAGAATGAACACATGAGCATTGAGGGCTATTGTGACTCTGATTGGGCTAGTTGTGTTGATGACAGGAGCTCCACCTCAGGATACTGTATCTTTATAGGAGGGAACTTAGTCTCGTGGAAGAGCAAGAAGCAGTCGGTGGTGGCGAGATCGACAACTGAGGCAGAGTATAGAGCTATGGCCTTAGGAGTTGCTGAGTTGCTATGGTTGAAGAGTATGCTGGTTGAGCTGAAGCTGGATCAATGAGCTAAGATGAAGTTGTGGTGTGACAACAAGTCAGCCATCAGTATCTCCAACAACCCAGTGCAGCATGATAGAACCAAACACATCGAGATCGATAGGTTCTTCATCAAAGAGAAGTTGGATAGCGGACTACTGGAGTTAAGTCATATTTCGACTAAGGACCAGACAGCAGATTGTCTGACTAAAGGACTTAGCTCAGTAGATATGATTAGAGGATGTGACAAGATGGGCTTAATAGATATCTTTCGCCCATCTTGAGGAGGAGTGTTGACATATTAGTATTAGTTAGGGACTTATTTGTAAGTTGTGTAGGGGCCTATATAAAGCCCAAGAGATCTCATAATGAATTAGGGTTTTCATATTCTATAAGTATCAAAAACATACATCATAGGCATGCTCTTCTATGAAGTATCTCTACAATATTGTAGATTAACAATCATCCTCACAAACTATAAACATTATGGATATTCAAATCTCTCTCAGATCAAAAGTCTTGAGTATCACAAGTTCGATCAGAAGTCTGAGTCTCCATGCTTCTTAATACCATGAACTTTTTTTTCCCAAGACAATTTAATATCACGTGTTGGATCTTAGAATCAAAATCACTTACTGAGTTCTGAAATAATTTATGAGACTCCCTCCAATCCCACTCCATGGGATGCTCTGACTGGGATTTGACAAATTTCAACAGTGAGTAGGTTGTACTACAATCCATGAGTAGAGACAGTAGTTGGTAGGTGTATTTGTCAGGGCTGGATGCTCTGACTGGTCTATCCATTTATTGTACTTTCATAAATTTTGAACAATTAGTAAAAGCTCATGAAAATAAATAAACTGTTCTAGTGGGAGTTGCTCTTTCTTTACCTGCTGGAACAGTAACTTTCCTATGTAATTCAGATGGTTGAGAGCCCAGTTTCCTTAATTAATTAAAATGTGTGGCCCATTGGTTCCCAACTAAATGTTGTGGATAATTCTATTTACTTTTAAATTATTAGCACCTTCAGATATTTTATTCTTTAGAACAGACAGCATTTGCTTCTTCCCTGTCAATTTATCTATCATAATTCTGAACTTTGTTTGGACTTCCGCTGTTCAAAATGCATTTAACCCAACCATTACTTTCCGAAGAGTGCTACAATAGTCTTCTGCTCAAGGATGGAGCAAACATGCTCCTTCACTTATGTATAAACATCCTTATGTTCTCCTTGGCATATGAAACAGCTTATTAGTCCTGTATTTTACCCAATTGGTAAGCAGAGTAATTACCCTGTATAACTGCCAGATCTTTTATTATTTTTGTTTAGCTTCTGATATGCGTTTTCTGAGGATCATATCTCAGGCGTCCCTGTTACTTTAGAAACTGGTTGTATTATGCCCATTTTATCTTTTGTTGGCTAAAAACCACTATATTGGTTGCTTATTTGGTGCTCTTCTTCAGATTGCTCGCAGATTGCTGGGAAAGCTTTTAATTGACCTCCGTAACACTCGTGAAGAAGCAATAAGTGTTGCTGAACTAAAATCTAATCTAAAATCTAATCCTGATCCAACTTCAATGTTCCTTAAGGTGAAGAAAGAAGAGGTTGATACCCCTAGACGTCTGAGGAAGAATGAAGATAAAAGATCTAGTTCGACTAGTGAAAAGTCACTTGATGAAGAAGAAGATGATGATAAAGAAACAAAATACCGATTAGATCCAAAGTCGCTTTCTTATTTTACTTGGTTTTTAATACTACTCTTTCCAGAGTTCTCTTAGACTAAAGTAGCATTATTTGATTTCAGGTATGCCAATGTAAAAACACCTGATCGGCATGTTCGTACGAGGCTTTATTTCACATCAGTATGTATGCTTTGCCCGCAGTATTTTGTTTACTGACTAGTTCTTCAGATGTCTATATGTTCCACATGTTTTTGTTTGTTCATGTTTTGATATCCAGTCTAACTTTTTTGTATTATTTTTGTGCAGGAATCTCATATACACTCTTTAGTGAATGTTCTACGATATTGTAACCTGGATGAATCCTTGCAAGGTGAGGAAAGCCTTGTTTGCAATAGTGCTCTAGAGAGATTACTTAAAACAAGGGAGCTAGACTACATGAGCCACATTGTTCTGAGGATGTTTGAAAATGTAGAGGTAAACAAGTTTTTTCACTAATAAGGTTTAGATAAATCTGATATCTCCCTTCTAAGAGGCGAGTATTCCTCTAATTGCGTTAAAGGGTCTACCTTGAGCCCGTGACAATGCTTATGCATCTTTATCAAATTTCCTCTACGTTCCTCTTTACGATGATCATAGATACATTATAAGTATTGTTTAAGTTGAATTGCCTCCTATGTAATCAGAGTTAGCTTGAGCAATTAACAAGTACGATGATGAAATGCAGGTACCTTTGGAAGACCCAAAGAGGTATCGCGTAGAAATGACATTTAGTCATGGTGCAGATTTAAGCCCTCTAGAGGTAAGTGATCCTTTATCATGTTTATGAGAGAAACTGTACCACACTATTGTAAACTTAAAAAAAAAAGTAAAAAGAAACATATGTTTTTAGGTGACTTGCAGATAACCGCCTCATTTATACCTTTAGCAGCATTTATCACTTCTCAACTCATTTATTAGCATTTATCACCCCTCAATTCATAGGGAGAGGTGATAAGTGCTACTAAAGGTATAGAGGACGGTTTTAATTTACAGTTTTACCCTTTTTTTTTACGTTCTTCACTGTTTTCCTTATGTTTTTGTTTATAGAACGATGACGGAGAAGATGCATTGTTGCGTCAAGAACACACACTTCCAATAATGGGGCCAGAGAGGCTTCAAGAAGTGGGATCATATCTGACATTAGACAAGATGGAGAAGATGATCCGGCCATTTGCGATGCCAGCTGAAGATTTTCCACCTTCGACACCGCAAGCCTTCTCTGGTTATTTCTCGAAAAGCGTGTTAGAACGTTTGGTCAACTTGTGGCCTTTTCATAAGAACACAGCTGCAGCCCACAATAAATAGGTCCCCTTTTTTTCATGTCAGTTTTTTAATTTTTTAAACTTTTTCATTTTAACATTTATCGGTTTCGTCTAGGATTTTGGTGCAGCCTAGATGAAAATTTGATCGTTGCGGATGTCCTTGCCTGCTGAGTTTTTTTTTTTTTTTGAAATATCAAATAAATAGTAATAAGTGTTGAGGCAGAAGGGTGAGGAAAATCCTTCGGCAATTTTGAAATATTTTGAAAAGTTGGTGTCCTAATTGTGAAGAGAGGAAGATTTTGTATGGCAATGTTCCGAGGATGCTTCATTTCTGGCTGATGAAAGAGCATTTGTAATAGAATCTTTTTGATTCCTTAAAAAGTAAAAAAGAAATGCTTCTTCACGAGTAAGGTTTTAAATTTTCTTTTTCTTTTGTTCTGTTCTTTAGGAGAAAGCTCAACCTTCGGTCCTTGACACCATGGTTAGAGGTGAATATGCTGTTTTTACTTTTTACTTTTACTTTTAAAAAAAAAAAATATTCTGTCACATGTTTTAGAAATATTTTGTAAACTTTAATTAAAAATCAGTTGTCATTTATTTAAAATCAAATCAACTTTTAGTCTTTTAGCTACCTCATTATGGCTTTGAAAACGTATCGTTATTTAACAAGAAATATGTTGGATTCGATAAACCTTTTTTGACCAAGCTTGTGAAGTAGTAAAGGTGATGTGCTATCATACTTTAGACTATAACAAACCATCAAAGAAAATTTCTGCTAGACTTTTTCTCCATAGTGAATGGTAGATTGCACAAGATTATTTAAAGGAAATTTTTATTGAAAAACCGAACCAAAACTGTCAAATTTGATCGTTGCAGCCAGTTTGACATGTCGAAACCAATTCAAGCAAGAAAAAGATAAATTATTCTGAAATTATTTCCTCAAATCACTAAAATTTCTATTAAGTCTTCCATTCTTGAGTAATTATGAAATTAGTCCCTCCAATTAAGTGCAGTCTGCAGAACTAGCAATCTGGGGAACTTATTTCTCTCTAATTCTTTTTTCAACGCTCACGTACCCAATAGCAAATTCAATGAATTGAGGAATCAATTCAAAATATGAAAGATTTAAGGGATCAATGTCGAAAAAGAAAAGAAAAAGGCAAGAATAATTTCACCGATATCACTAACACCACCAAAGTCATCGGATTAGATTCCTAGCGTGTGATTGACCGTCACCCACAAACTCAACTGGAATAAAACAAAATATAAAAACCCTCTTTTCCTAATTATAACTAGTGTTATATCCATGTGTTGCTGCGGGAATTTTTCTAACATGCATTATTAACCAAAATAATAAAATAAAATCTAAACTATAAATATTTTAAGAAAGTTAACAACAATTCTTTTTTGCTATGATTTTATCATGCTAAAAAACTTTTATTATAGCCACGAGTGTCTGAGTTATGCTTTAGATTTGCTAAACTTACTATATACATAATGAGAAGAAAAGAGTTAGATATCTATTTATAAAATAAGACTACATCCACTTTTTTTGATGTAGTCCTCTTATTAAAAATGCTTTTTAACAGTAATTAGAACTTGAGTTAAGTTTAACTTTGTAAAACATAGTGTTGCATTATGGTTTAACTTTATTCAACATATATATACATAAATGCTGAAATGTAATTTAATAAACATACCCGCATATATATATATATATATATACATATATATATATATATATATATATATATATATGAGATTAATGGGTATCATATGTCATATGAGAGGATTCCCTCATATACAATGATGTGATACAATCTCCACCAAGTGAATAAAGTAGGAGAGAGAATGCCTCATAAATACACTTGGTGAAGATTGTGCCACATCATTGTATATGGAGTGTTGCTAGGAGGACCCAAAAATGGGACAGATCCATGGGACAGATGATGTGGCGTATACAGCTGGAAATATTAATTAGCTGCAAAATAATGTGTTAGGAAATAGAAAAGGATACTCTGGTAATTTTGCACTCACCTGCTCTCTTCTCCTTCTCCCCTTTTCTCTCCCAACTTCTCTCCCCCACCCAAACTCTATTCTCCCTCTCTCCCGGCCGCGCCACCGATCTCCTCTCTCTCTCTCTTTTTTTTTACGATAAGAATTTTAATTTCATTCCACGGATTATCACCAAATTAAGAGCAACAACCCTACATCTAAAACCAACAAACATTAGACTATCACCCACTGTAAAATCTACAAAAGAAGAAAAAATGGAAGACTTCTTCAACTGTCATCATCAGCAGCAGACTTTGATGAGCCTCCACCATTGGCAATAGTGACAGTTCCCACGATTATGGAGGTTTATTGGATAATTAATCAATAAGTTCAGTAAAATGGGATCTTTTTCGGGCCAGATCCAACGCACTCACTGGAGATCGTCAGAGGAAGGAGGCCCCGCGTCGGAGATGTCGGGTTGGGTCATACGAAAGGTGCTCGACGAAATGTGATGGACGCGGGGGAGAGAGAGGAGAGAGTTTGGGAGAGAGAGGAGAGCGGCGGCGTGATGGACGCGGAGGAAGAGAGCGTGATTAGCGTTTGGCGCTCCTAACGAGGAGGCTGGGTCCGGTCGCGGGCGCGGACTGGCCGGCGGGGGAGAAGAGAGGTTGGGGTAGAGAGACATAATTTGTGTGAAAGATATTTTTCAGTCTTTCAAGATCCAGTCTTAGGATTGCCAGCGCCACACCTGTCCGTTGTCAATGTCCAAATAGGCTCCAAAAAGAATCAATTCTTGTAGATGAGAGAAGTCCTCTCATAATAACATATGGACACCAATTAATCTTATTGATATATATATATACATTATATATATTATATATATATTATATAATATATATAACTATATATATATATATATATATATATATATATATATATATATATATTATATACACACGAGGCGACGGTGGCGCGAGAAAAGGGGGGAAAAATAGGGAGATTAACCCATCCAAAAAAAATCCAGATCGAGTGGCCAAGATACAGTGGGAAAAAATCATCAAGATGGGATCTTTTCTATCGTCATTAGCCAGCCCCGGCGACGAGACCCCCAGCGAAAGCTCCTGCGTGATCGCGATCCATAGCAGGAGCGCCTGGGACGAGCACTGGTCAACTAACCAGCAAAACCCTAACCATCTGGTAATTTTTTTTCTTTAATAAAAATCTCATCTTGATATGTTTTATTTTGATGACTGATCTCTTTTTGGTTTCCAATTGATGGAAAGATGGTGATTGATTTCACGGCGAAGTGGTGCGGGCCTTGTCGGTTCGTCGGGCCGGCATTTGAGGCCTTCTCCGCCAAATACACCGATGTCGTCTTCCTCAAAGTTGATGTCGACGAACTTTCGGTACAGTTAGTAATGAATTTGAGTTATTAGCTTCCAAATATTATCTATTTTGGAAAAAGTCAGCAACTTTTGATATTATAAATAGGGAAATTGCATATAGATACCCTGCAGTATGAAACTTACTTGTTGGGATCCCCTCAATTGCCCGAAACTATAAGGAGAGGAACAATTGAACAACGAAAGAACAATTATGGAGAAATCTTTTTAAAACCCTTGCATGAAAAAAAAAAATCTCAAAAGGCGATCTTGCCCACGGAAGAACTTGCACCATGTTGAAAAGAATAAAAGCCTAGTGAATCTTTCTAGCATCCGCACAATGCAAACGTACAATAATCCCAACACTTGACCCTGAGAAACAAGAATAAACCCGAAAAAGAAGGGAGTTAGCAAGAGATCGATGAAACCACCGCAAAGAGCTTCTTTCAATAGCCTTAGAGCATCTTTGGCAACTATGGATTATAATCCAATTGGCTTATATTTCATTTGTGGATTATAAGCTAAGTGAATTGTAAGCCATAGTGTTTGGTAAATTCAGATGATTGTAATTCATTTTCAGTAGTAGACTGTTTGGCAAGTGAGTGGCTTATATGCCATCATTGTTGTCAAGATGACCAAAAAACATTTAATGTAGTTGAGTGAGATAAATGGAACTTGTAATTTTTTGAAATAATGAAGGGTATATTAGACTTTTACTCGATCCACCGTGAGTTTGCGGGGAGCTGTTAGAATCATACCTCATATCAACCCATACCTTATCCTTGCCACCTTTGCCCATGCTCAACCCTTTCCCATGCTCAATCACAGCTCTTCTCCTACTCTATTCATCGAGGGATACATTGCTAGCATTGCAAGTCCACCCTTGCTACGCTTATCATCAATGTCTCTCTGAATCCTCATAAAGCTAGACCCCCCAGTGTTTACCCCACGTATTCCGCAGGACCTAATACTTCACTTCCTTTTCGTCGGTTTCACAGCCAACAAGTATGGCCTGGTTGTCTAACTTATATCCATAATTAGCTTTTAATATACCTCTAGTGTACTGCTTGAATTACCTACGATTTGAATTGATGAAAATGGAGACGGCCTGCTTGGCAATAACCTACATCAGCTCGTATTTGTTATTTGTATGGAACAACAGTGAACCCGTCAATATAGACGCATGGGCTGCCAGGCTGATAATGGCACTTTCCCGTTTCCTATGTACGGGTAATGTTGCGCATGTTGAATTTCGTACCTCTTAATATACGAGT